GTCCGTGTGTATGCGCGCGCATGCGTGTGTGTGTTTGGCCTCGCCCTCGCGGCCAGTTTGTGCAGTGGATAACACAGAATAGCCGTGGGTGGAGTGCAGCCTCGGCAGAGTCGGCGGCGCCCCCCTTCCCCCCCCCCCCCTCCTTCCCCGCTGACACCGCGGTTAAGGTCTCCGTTACGCGCCGCACTATAATGTGTTATGATGTGTCTCCTGCAGCCCAACCTGGAGACGCTCAAGATTAACGTCCGGGACGAGAGCGTCCACAAGTTTGTTCCGACGAGGGCGCTCTCCTTCTTGCGGAAGCTCAAGCTGTTCGAGATCATGTACGCCACCATCTCCGAGCTCCAGCCTTACGCGTTCGCCAACCTGACCACCCTGCAGGTAAGCTTTGCTCCAAGTCCACCCACCAGTCTAAAAATCAACCATTCTGTTGAACTTGCTCACGGCCTCCTTCGCTTCCCATAGGAGCTCCAATTGAAGCGGAACCAGATCATCACGCTCAAGCCTCGCTCCTTCGCTTGGCTGCCCAACCTGACGACGGTCAACCTGGGCGAGAACCAGGTGGCCGAGGTGCACCGCGAGGTGTTCCTGGGGCTGCCGTCGCTGCGCCGCCTGTTCCTGGACCGCAACAACATCACGACGCTGCACGACGGCTCCTTCACGCACCTGTCGGGCCTGGACGAGCTGGAGCTCAACGACAACCAGCTGGCCGTGCTCACCCGCGAGACGTTCAGCGGGCTCAAGATGCTGCGCCGGCTGCTGCTCAACAACAACAAGCTCAGGTTGGTGTCATGGTTGGCCGCCAGGCACCGTGCGCGAGCTTACCTCCTGGGACGTTGTTCTGACTGCTTCTGTCTCCTCCCGCAGGATGCTGGGCGACTGCACGTTCTGCGAGATGCCGCACCTGACGGAGTTGTACCTCAACGAGAACGGCCTGCAGTACCTGTCGGTGCGCGCGTTCGAGGGGCTGTCCCGCCTCAGCCGCCTCATGCTGGGCGACAACGCGCTGCAGGTGCTGAGCCCCGGCTCGCTCAACGGCCTGGCGCGGATGCGCTACCTGGACCTGCGCAACAACGAGCTCAACACGCTGCCCTACGAGACCGTCAAGCCGCTCATGGACAACTTCAAGAACGTGTCGTCCTACTTCTACATCGAAGGTGAGTCAGCCTTCTTGCCTTGTGGTTCTCAAAACGTGCCTCATTGGCCGCTGTTGTGTTTTTAGTTGTACTGTACCACCTGCAGGCAGGTTTGCCTGCTCTCTATAGCAGCACCTCTATGGCCCTAAGCGCTTGCGACACAGCATACAGCTGACCCGTGTACCGTATGAATGCACGCCAACAGGGAAGGTGGCATCAGCAGCGTTGACAGTCGTCCACTGAGAAAAGAGAGGACAACCAAAGTATAGAAATATGCTCAGGGTGACCATCAAAGTCCGTCCCCCTAGAGCGATCCCCGGCCGGCTACTCCGCCCTGTCCGCCCACCACCCTATGGTGGCCCTGGGCACGAGTCCCGCAGATTTATGAAGCGTTCGTTTGGCTGCCGATACATGGACTATTGATAGGTCGAGGATGTCCGACCCCGAGCCCGCCCCCGCCGGCCTGCTCCGCTCTGCTCTGCGGGCCGTCGCACTGCTTGCGCCTCGCCAGCGGTTTTCTCTGGTCGACATTATTTTCGCGAGCGCTAGAAATAAATTTGTACTCGCCTTGGCGAGTCTGCTTGCTGCCGCAACCCTGTTCCCTTCCATGTTCCCAGCGAGTCCGTTCGTTCCCGCCCCACCCTGACGTCCGTCTCGAACGTAAATTATGGAGGAACCGATCAGAAGAGAAATGAAGTGCCTCCGCTCCTCCCCGTGGGCCGAGGCCGGCGAGGCCGCCGGGGGGCTGGCCGGCCTGCGCACCCCTCCGCGCCGCGCCGCCCCCGCGCCGCCCCCGACTACATACTGCCTCCCCGCCCCCAGGGGGAGGGGGCGCTGTCCGGTGCAGGGGGCCATTGTGACCGGGGGGAGGGGGTCAAGTAGCGCGCTGGGCAGATAATCCATTCCGAGGATTTCGAGGCTCTGGACTCTGAGGAGAATCTGTGGAGAGAATGGAGAGAAGAGCTTTAGCCCAAGCCTTTTCCCCCCGGGGATGGGAAGAGGAAGAGAGAGAGAGAGAGAGAAGAGGAGATAGGGGCAGTGGAAGCGAATGGGGAGAGAGCGCGAGTGCATTCTGTTCCTGATGGGCTTGGCGGATGCTGCTCTGTCTGTGGCGTCCACCTTGCCCTGGTCTCGGTCTCCTTGCCCGGCCGAAGCTGCGGGCGACGTTCGCAGTCGCTCCTCCGGGTGTTTGCCGTAGACCGCGCTGAAGCGCGGGGGGGTTTGGGTTTGGTCGGCCGTGTCGAACGGCGCCCGGTGCACTCGTGGCGATGGAATCAGTATCCTGTTGGAGAAGAGATGAGGGTAGAAGGGAAAGGGGGGGGGGTACAATTTGCCGTGTGCCATTACCCACACCTCCCACAGCACCACCACCGCTCCTCGGCGACCCGTACACACATATTGGCATTGCAGATTCCCAGCAGGCCGCGCCCTCCGCCCATAGTACCCCCCGCCTTGTCGCAAAACATCCTCGTCCGCCGCCGCGCCCGTCGAGTCGGGACGGGTCGTCGACTCCTCTGTGACTCGGCTTGTTTGCCCAGTGATCGCACTCGCCACTCGAGCTGGCGGGGCTCGGCGGGGCGGGGCGGGGCGGGGCGGCCGTGCAGGGCCTATTGCGTGGCGGGGCCGCGCGCAGCGGTCTTATGCAAATGGGATGAGAACTGCTATGGGGATGGCCACGTGGTCTCGTCCGTGTGTATGCGCGCGCATGTGTGTGTGCCTGTGTGTGTGTGTGTTTGGCCTCGCCCTCGCGGCCAGTTTGTGCAGTGGATAACACAGAAGCATCACCAATTCAGTCATAGAATGGGGGGCAGTGGGGCACATCCCGGACGCTCGCACTCGTGTGTGTGTGTGTGTGTTTGTGCGCGTGTGCGCTCGCATCGGTGTTTGTATTTTGGCCTAGCAAGGCCTGCAGGAGACGATAAGGGTGGTGGTGAATATACGTCGTGTCCACCCTGACCCGGAAACATGTATTC